TAAAAAATTAAAAAAGAAAAAAGAAAAAAGAAAGGGGCTGGCAGCAAGGGCGGTGGGTAGTGGGGGGAGAGAGGCTGAGATGAGGAGCTCTGAGGACCACTGAGGGTGGCAGCCACACAAGTGTCCAGGTGCTTGAGGCCACAGAACCACACTCTTAAAAAAGGCTAAAACGGCAACTTTTGTTATATATAGCTTATAATATAAAAACAAAACACAAAAACCCGAGACAATCTTTTTGTCTGGCTTCTGAGAGGGAAAAGGAAGAGAACATGAAAGCAAGAGACCAGACTGCTCACTGGGTCCAGTCCCAGCGCAGAGCCCCAAAAGCCTCACGGCCCAGCGTGCTCCACCTACAACTTGGCCCCGCTTCCCCTCTGGACTTGCTCTTCTCTGAGAAAGCCTTCTAACGACCTTTGGGCTCTGATAAAACCAGTACCTTAGCTCTACATCAGTCCCTGAAAGCTCAGAGAGGTGGCAGAATGTGCTCCAGTAATGGGCAGATCCCAGAGGAAGGAACAACAGCAGAGGAGAGAGGGAGCAGGGTAGACTTCTAGATTCTTACTCTGTCCTCTCCGGAAAAACCAGAGGCCCAGCCAAACTGCTCAGGCCCCCACTTGTCTGTGAGGCTGCCCTGAGCCCACCTTACCTCAGCTTGCGTTTGGTAAATTTCTTTTCCTTTTTTGGGAAATTTGCCTCTCTTCCACACCCACCAGTTACAGGGTATGTGGGTGTATCGAGAAAGAAATTTCCCAAAAAAGGAAAAGTGATTCCCAGAGGTTAGCCCCATCTCAGAGCTGCCTGGAAGAGAAAGGCCGACAGTCAGCCCTTGGAGCCGGACTTAGGCCTGAAGGCTCCAGACCAAGCACAAGTCTCTGAGCATAGGACACCTCTCAAGGACACCCTCAAGGCAGCCACTGACCAACGCTCTGTAGCCCCCTCCTCTTCCCGGGCACTCCTGACAACTGCTGTGCCCGTGTGGGTCCCAGCTGAGGGAGCCCAGGACAACCTTCCCCACTGCTCTCTGGAGCCTTCTGCAGGAACCAGTGAGAGCTACGACACACAACACACCTAAGCCCTCTCCAGGAAACACCCCAGGTCTCACCTTCTCCCTACTCAGTGAGCAGAAACTCTACAGCAACACACTTGCGAAGCTGGTTACTTCAACTCAACAAATGTTTACCAGATCTGTGCCACCCAAGCCCCAGGCCAGACAATGCAGAGATACCAAGAATTATCAGGGGGGGGACGATGGGGGGGGGGGGAAAAAGTTACAATCTAGTTGGTAAGATAACATTGAAACCAATGAAAACAAATGGCAATATTGTATAAAAGTAAAGCAACAATTTGAAACAGTTTATGCTAAGTGTTAAGGGAACAGCCCAGCCATAAAGTGCCCCACTCCATCACAGGCAGGGAGCAGGAGTGGGAGGATCAGCAGTGCATACTGGCTGCCCAAAGCCACTGCTCTTGCAGACACCGAGATGGGGCCATTATACAGCACGCTGCTCTGAGTACAGCACAGTAAGGGGGACCTATATGCTCCTGAGGTAAGAGCCACACACATAAGCAATCTGCTAGCTCCTCGGTCACCTGATATGCAGGGACACCCCACAGAAAACCCTCCACACCAGGAACACAACCACCCCTATTCCCTGTCTGGCACTTACTACACCAGCCAGCCGGCTAACCCTGCCCCTCCACCTCCCTCACACCCAGACAATCAGAGAGGGGAGTCCTTCCACACTTTAAGAATCAGGGTGAAAAGGAAGCAAATCAAATTTATATTTTACTTAAACAAACAAACAAACAAAAATCAGGGGTGCCTGGGTGGCTCAGCCGGTTAAGCATCTGCCTTCGGCTCTGGTCATGATCCCGGGGTGCTGGGATCGAGCCCTATGTCGGGCTCCTTGCTCAGTGGGAAGAATGTTTCTCCCTCTTTCACTCCCCCTGCTTGTGTTCCCTCTCTCACTGTCTCTGTCAAATAAATAAAATCTTAAAGATAAATAAAATAAAAAAATTAATTAATTAAACATGCCACTGACCAGATCACGAAGGGTCTCACAGCCTTGGCACTGCTGACATCTGAGGCGAGACCATTCCCTGTCGTGAGGCCTGTCCAGTACATCACGGCACTCCCGGCCTCCACCCGGAGGTGTCCAGAGCAACCTCCTTCTCCCCCGCACAGTTGTGAGAGTCAAAGAAGACTCCAGACACTGCCACGTGGCCCCAGGAAGCACAGTGGTGCCCAGCTGCAGACCGTGGCTCCACGTCCAGGTTCTCTCAGAGAAGCCTGTCGGCGTGGCTGCATCCAGGTCACACACGAGCCTGCCTGAAAAGCTCACCCACTCCAGGTCTTGAGACCCTGCTGGCCGGGGAGAGGCAGGAATCTAGGCACCAGGAAAGCTGACCTCTGGGCTGGAGCTCCAGGACTTTGGACTGTGCTAATCCGGGGAGTGGTGAAGAACAAGGCCCAAAAGAGACCCATGGGGTGGGAGAGGCCCCTCCAGAGTCCACCTACAAGGCCCAGGGCAGCAGCTGCCAATGCTGACCCCAGCAGCTGGCAGTGGCCTGCCCCGGTCACCGAGCCCCTTCTCAACTGCAGCCCAGATGTTGCCTTGCCACTTGCCCCAGAGGACTCTCCTAACACAGCAGGGAAAACTCCTACAGGTCTGAAATGTTGCTTTAAACGTATTTCAGTGCAACTGCCACTGTCTTTTTTCACTGGCAGAAATAACGCCACTCTCTTTCCTGGAGGTGCAGCGTATCTGCACTGCCCGCAGCCTGGGCGTTTCAATACTAGCTCGCACACCAGGTCAGTCTCTTCAGCTGCAAGGTCATCTGCTAGAAAGTGGCCTGCGGTCCAAAACTCTCGACTCTGGGCGTACCCCACAATGCCCTCTCTGTAGTCCACGTTTTTCCTGGGGCTTCGTTTCCCACATCGCCGGCACAGTCCCACCTCTGCCCCAGCAGCCCATGAAATAATGCCCACCAGCGATCAGGTCGCTGGGAGACCACAATGTACTGCAAGGTGTCAGGACTCGCGGCTCAACAGCCCCCATTATGTGGGAGCGGCTCTTGGGATGCAGCATGTGCTCTGCGTTTGTGCACGAGCTACCCTCTCTTTGTGCTCGTGCAACTGAGCTGAGGGAACAAAGACTGGACTGGACTCCAGTGAGACCTAAAGAAAGATTTCCTGACCAGAATAATCGGTCTCCAAGGAAAGTCCAGTGAACTCTATTTTTCAGGAAGGCTCACAGTGCAGCCCAGCCTGGATGTAACCCAGTGACCTCTGAGGCTCCTTCTCTACCGTTCGTCTCTGCAGGACTTAAGAACAAGTCAGCCAGGCACAGGGAGGACAGGGGGAACGTCAAGGCTCGGAGAAGCCCAACTCCCACCCAGGGCTACTGCTCGTATAGCGGTCAAGTCGGGAAAATACAGAGGGCAGTGCTGGGTCTGCCTCCAAGCCTCCTTCCTTTTCCTGAAGGAATAGGTGTCCTAGTGAATCATTCCTCCTGCTCTTATTTCTAGTGAATTCCATCCCCTCACTGGTGTTCACCTCCAATCTACTCTGGACTACAGATGCTTCCATGGCAAACACCCCCTGTGGCCTAGCACACTGTATAAATACACTCACCACGAAAAATGAGAAGAAAATGATTTTAAGAAGGAACCAATGAGGTGATAGCTGAGATAGAAGTAAGTATCACATCTATTAATTCCATACCCAAATGTCATACCCATTAATTCATCTGAGAAACGAAATAGAAGAAGAATCACATTACTAAGATTAGGACCCCCATGTGAGAATGCACTCACTTGTGGCCTGTTCACAAAGCTGTAATGACCACCCTAAAATCCAAGTGTCCCGACATTCTACAAGGTCCTCAGAGACAACCGTTATCTCTGCATACGGTTCCAGAACCCTGTTCTTACTCCTGTAGCAAAACAATGAACTCTGGATGGGACGAGGTCAACCCATTTTACGAAGTCCGTCTAGATTTCCTCGGACGGTCCCAATTAAAAATGCTGCCCACGGGGCGCCTAGGTGGCTCAGTGGGTTGGGCCTCTGCCTTTGGCTCGGGTCATGATCTCAGGGTCCTGGGATCGAGCCCTGCGTCGGGCTCTCTGCTCGGCGGGGAGCCTGCTTCCTCCTCTCTCTCTGCCTGTCTCTCTGCCCACGTGTGATCTCTCTCTCTGTCAAATAAATAAATAAAATCTTTAAAAAAAAAAAAAATGCTGCCCACAGAAACGCACACACACACTCACAAACTCAAATGGAACAGGACAAAGTGCTTACATTTTCCATCTTCAATCCTTTAAAAAGCCTGGAATTCGGTCATACTTTAGATTACTTAGGAGAGACCAATCTCCTTCAGAGGAAAAACTCAGGAGGCAAAATGGACAGTAAAAGAAAAGCCAGAACATTCCCCCTGGGTGGTTTTCAGCTTCACCTCTGGACCAAGAACAGTACACATCCAGCCCAGGAAGCAGGGAGCAAACCAGGTGGATGGCAGGGGGGGAAGGAGCCATATGCCCTGGCTTAGTGCCCAGGAGGCCTCTGAAGGTCCAACAGGACAAGCGAGACCCCCTACAGCAATGGAACAGAGAGGCAATCCTGGGACTACAGCACGGGGATGTGCATGTGCTCAACGTCCACACATGCCCTGGGCCAGCCTCCCACCTGCTGCTAGAGGCCCACAGCCTATTCTGCTTCTCTCTAACTTGGAGTGGTCTGGCAGGTCTGACTCCTATCAGCCCAGAACAGAAGTGTCTTCCTCCCTCACTGGTTACTCTCACCTGCACCACTAACGATGCCCCAAGCCAAAGGTCTGGGTTTTCAGGACCTTCTCTACCAGACGCTGCAGGTTCTTCAGACTGCAGGCTCCCCAAAGCCCAAGCGAGAGCACACAGGGCTGTGCTCACAGATGACACCCATGCAGACACAAAGAAGGTGCCTCGGGGAGGCTCGAGTCAGGGAGTGGGCGCAGCAGGACACTCACCATCTCATCCAGGGCGTAGCGCAAGAGGCCGTGCTCATAGAGGATGAAGAACCGCCGCTGCCATTTCTGCAATGGAGCACAGAGTGGGTGGTTAGTCGGGCTCTGGCCCGATCTCTGCTCGCTGCGTCCCTGGGGCTCACGAGCCTATGTCAAAGGAATGGGGCTCCACAGCTTCCATTTCTGGGGCAGATGGCAGGAAAGGAAGGACCCAGGGCAAAAGAACAGTAATTTGTGAGATGGCACTGGGCGAGGGGAGAGACCCAAACTGCCCAGCGTTTTTCCACAGGAGTTACTGAGGTGACACAAGATGTCTGCTTTATTTTAACTGACAAGCTCCTGGAGAGCAGATATGGTATCCTGGTCACCTTTTTGCATTCTCTATGTACCCAGCCCAGAGGTGATCACATAACATGTGTCAGTATTTATTTCATGAATTGTACGGTACAATATGGAATAACCGGAGAATGGCAGGCACTGATTTCCCGCTTCTGACAAGATCGAGGAAACTGCTATGAAAGGGTTGTTCTGAGACCCACAGGGAGTGGGAGACACGGAAAAAGACAGCCAGGCTACAGTGTTCACTGAGGATAAGCAAGCTAAGAAAAATCAAAACTGAGAAGGAGGGAGACCTGTGGGAATGATTCTGATGTCCAAGGAGTGACTGACCAGCAAAGTGTGCCCCTCTACTCTCCACCCAAAGGACAGGCCACTGGGGGTCAGCGGGGGCCCAAAGGCACAGACAACAGAACAGAAGGGACCATGAGAATATGTGCTTTCCTTTTTGTGGGGGGAAAACATATCCAGAACAAGAGACTCTTGGTCCCCAAATCCCAAAGATCATCATGAGTATCTATGACCTATTTTCAACATTTCAAAAAGCCCAACAAAATTCATACTTTCACTGGCAATAAGCCCACAAGAACTATCATATCTCTTTGCTTTGGGCCAGAATTATATCATTCATAATTATGTTTTTCCCATCAGAAGCTGGAAATGGCAATTCTGTATGATCTGAATATAGAATAGGAAAGGACACTGCTCCCTTGTTACTGCAGGCATTGGAATAGTCACCCCTGCTGTCCTCCTGCCTGGATGGCAGGAACAGGACGCTCAGATAGCCTTGCAAAGAGGACCTGTAGACAGCTGGCTCCATGCTGGGTGTCCAGGAGAGGATACTTGGAATCTTCCTGAGAAACATTTTCAAGGCTCCTTTAAAGATAGTAGTATCTTTAAAGTCAAAACCCACACCAGAAGTAATCCTAAAGGTCCCAGACATAATACAAGATCTGTGGGGCACCACCCTAGATTGCAGCATTCAGGCTAGGGACAGAAGAGATCAAGAGGCAGGGTAGAGGCTCTCAGGGAACAGGGGATAGGAAGGGAGAGAAGCTGGAGCAATTTACAGGGTATGGGCAGCAGCACCTGGAAAAAGCATGTGGAAAAAAAGAAAGACGGCATTTTAACTGGAGTCATCCAAAGGGGCTCCCTGGTAGAGGAACAAACCACTGGTTAGTGACAATGTTGGTTTAATCATCTCGATGCTCCAGCTCAGCCTGGGCTGCTCCCAACAACCTGTGCACAGAGGGACCCACCCTGGGCTGGTGCTCAGGAGAAATGTGGCAAAAACTGAGTTGGCCCTCTAGCGTATCACGCCTTCACTAGTGCTTATCTGCTAGCCAGGGAGGACTGGAGGGAAGAGAGTTGGGATGAGGAAGGGAGGGAACCAGAAGCCTAATTAGCACAATGCAAATGTTTGCTGACCTGTTCTTCTGCCTTTTGCATTTAATTGTTTCTGCAGTCAAGCTGACTCGCGAAAACAGGAGGCACCATCTGAGAGCATCTCCTTTTGAAGAGTGGACCTGGCACAACTAGTATCATCGAGACATTTCCTGTAGGACCAACGAGTTTGCCAAATGGGGGTTCCCTACTGATCCTGCCATCCCAGGATCCATTGTTCAACTCTCTATCTCCCTCTTCTATTCTGTTGACTTGCCCTTAGATGGGCACCTCTTCAGTCCCTCCCACCTCAAGAATTCATTCTGAGGACCTTACCCGAGACCGATGCACTGGGTTGTCAAAGTCAGTCCCATCAGGAGCCAGGAGTAGCCAGCCACCATAAATAGGTTTTGCCTGGAGGAGAAAAAAAGAGGGCAGGTCATCAGTGGCTTGGACCAGAGACAGAACAGGTTCGATGGTCAAGTTAAAGATTAGTGCTCCCTGGAAACAGAAGTCTCCTCTGATTAGCATACACCAGGCAGGCATCTCATTTCCCAGCCACAGGCCAAGTCTCCCAAGAAAGATGTTTGGGAGTAAGAGGCTCCTGGGGGGGAGGGGGTGTTCTGCAGCATCTGGTATGGAGAAAGGGACATAAAACCCGGCAGGGCTCTGAAAAACCTCAAAGTACAGGAACTCCTACGACACAGATGCCTCTCTCAAGTTCCTGATCAAGGCACAAAGATCAGGAAACAACGGCATTTTCAATCACCCGCCACTGTGTGCTGGGTACTATGTATATGACACAAACACAGCCAAAAGCCCTCATTCTGATAGTATAAAACAGGGCCTGGGAGAAGAGACACTGCTTTAGTGATCACAGCTAGCATGGGCCAAAGAGTCATCGACTTCCTGGCTATGTGACATTGGGCTGAAAACCGTGAGGGTTTCAAATGTCCCATCTGAAAGGTTGGGATGATGGAAATCATATCCACACCTCATGAGATTTATGTGAAGACTGATGAGGTAATGCAAGTAAAACACAGCACAGGAAATAAAATGGTGCAGCCACCGTGAAAAAGTGTGGCATTTCCTCAAAGAGTTAAAGACGGAATTCCACGCAACCCAGAACTCTATTCCTAGGTATACACACCTGAGAAGATTGAAAGCAGGTGCTCAAATAAAAACGTGGACCTGAATGTTCACAGCAGCACTGTGCACAACTGCCAAAAGGTAGAAACAATCCCAATGTACATCAACAGATGAGAGGATAAGCAAGATGTGGCACATCCATACAACAGCATATTATCAGCCGCAGAAAGGTACAAAATACTGGCATGATCTACAACACGGACGGACCCTGGAGACATTACGCTGAGTGAGAGAAGTGAGAGAACACAGAAACCAAAGACCATATATTGTATGATTTGGCTTATAATAAGTAAACCCGCAGAAACAGAAAGCAGATGAGTGGTTGCCAGGGCATGGAGGGAACGAGAAATGGGAAATGACTGCTAACAGGTATGGGTTTATGGGATGATGAAAATGTTCTGGAATTAGAAAGCGGAGATAGGGCTGATCCAAAGGTAGTGAGTCATCTCAATTGATTGTTCACAGTCAGTTACAGACAGAAAGTAGAGATGGTTAAATGACCTTGTAAATATGCTAAAAGCTACTAAATTGTACACTTTGAAAGGCTGGATTTTATAGTATGTAAATTTTATTTATTTTATTTATTTATTTAATTTTATTAAATTTTATAGTATGTAAATTATATATATATCCTCATACGTTTGGCCTCTAAGTGCATAATAAATGTTAGCTATTATTTTTTTTTTTATGAAGGTCCCCCATCCCCCAAGCCCCTGACAGTGGGAGCTCAACATGAGTTGAGACACTAGACAGACACTCTGGCTCCATCTCCCTTTTCAGCCATACCTGGCTGGTCAGAAGCAGCTGGAAAAGGCACAAGCAAGTCAATTTGTCCACTACCCTTTGGAGGGCAGAAACACAAATTAAAACCCAAACCCTCTGCCTGCTGTTTACACACATGACTCATCTCTGGGAAAACTTTAGGGGTCCCCTTAACATGCTTTTTATTCAATACTTTCCAAACTGGAGCCCTGTCTCACCACCTCATTTTATAGCTATGCAATCAGTGACTCAGAGAGGGAAGGTCACCTGCCAGAGGTCACACAGCATTCTGGGGTAAGCCAGAAACACTCCTTTTTCTTGGCTTCTGCAGGGCTCTCTAGGTCCCCAGGGGGAAGCTCCGGTTTTTCCCCATGAAAAGGAACAGAGTAGCAGGAGCTTCAGGGAAGGGGTATAGAGAGGGCTGAGGAAAGGAAGTGAGGGACTGTTTTTGATGAAACATGGGAAATGGGTGCTGGCAGGGTACTTGGGGTTAGAGGACATAACACAGGAGGGCCACAGGAGATGTGGAATGAAATTCTGTCTTGGAAAACAGAAGAGAGTAAGGTCTGTCTTCTCAGCAAATACCAGACCAGTGGCACCCAGCTATTCCCCATACAGGCAGGCACATTCACTCAGCGTCTCTCTCACATCACTCAGTGACATACATACACAAGATGGAAAGGTCAGGGCCAGAGGGGGATCCTGGGCCAGGTGACTTCTGCACTTCGCCTCTTAGTTAGCAGTTCCCTGAGGTGTGAAATCAGGATGTCAGACAACAAGTCCGTGTCTCCTCCATTTTTGTCAAGCTGTGATTGTATGCTATTCTCCTAGTCTCTGGTCGCAGGGCTTTGGGGAGACTTCAAATTAGCAGCTACATCTACCTGACCTTCCCTGAGCAGTTGGAGATGTGAGGGACTGCCACAGGTCCCCTCAGAACCTGGCCACAGTCTCATTAGCACCCATCACCAGCACTGTTATTGACTCAACATCTACTCAGGCCTAGTGTGAGCCAGCCTATTGTGCACTGGCCCCATGTGCTGCAAACCAAGGGGCTGCCAGCACCCGCCTCACTTTGCCAGGTCCTTCTGGGACATACCACCCCAAAAGGGACCCTTCTAGGTGGGCAGGTTGTCCTGAAAGTGGGAAGGCTGGGCCAATGGAGGGCACAGGGCAAGAAACAAGTGTTCTAGGAGCACCAGATGGCTCAGTTGGTTAAGTGTCTGCCTTTAGCTCAGGTCTTGGTCCCAGAGTCCTAGGACTGAACCCCGCCTCAGGGTCCCTGTTCAGTACGAGGCTGTTTCTCCCTCCCCCTGCAGCTCCCCCTGCTTGTGCTTGCTCACACTCTCTCTCTCATTCTCTGTCAAATAAATAAATAAAATCTGTAAAGTAAATAAATAAATAGACTCAGCCTTCCCTCACAAACCCAATAAATCAGAGACTGCGCTTCTGGCTGGTCTCTGGGAAGAGGCTACTGGTGGTCTGGGTGTCTTCCTCAATTGAAAGTCCTTTCAAAAATGGTTACTTGGAACTTCTGCTTCCTGGAAGATAGGTAGATGTAATTTTCCCTATGCCTCCTACTAAGTACAAATCAAACCTTGGACACTGTATCTAAGAAAAACCTAAGGAGACTCTGCAAGGTGGAGAGAAGACAGCAGAGACGAGGGCTGGGGGTCCTGAGACCTGAAAACAACATGGAGATATGTACCCTGGCTTCTCTTTTTGTCTCACGGTCCCAGACCAGGTACTGTAAGAATGAACAACCCGGAACTGCCAACAGGTACAAACAAAAGCCCCAATAAAAACTGCTCTTTCTAGCTAAAGAACCAGGGAAGAACAACCTGGTAAGACAGAATATTCTTAGATGATAACTGCTCCATTCCTGCCACATATGATGGGAAAGACTCAGCCCCAGACCCACCCATGCCAGCAAAGGCTTCCTTCCTACCCTTGTCAGCTAAGAGGTGCCCCAGCACCCCTACCAGCTGGGATTTTTGCCCCCACCCAGAAGTAACAAGGTCCCCCTCCCTCTCCCTGCTGGGATAGAGTCAGAGGAAAAAACATGGAGAGCTGAACTCTCACCCCGGCTCTGCTGTAACAAGGAACTGCCCCCATCAGGTATCAGTGGATACCAGGAGATTAAAAAAAAGCAAAAACAAAAACAAAAACAAATGGAGGGGCGCTGGGTGGCTCAGTGGGTTAAGCCTCTGCCTTTGGCTCTGGTCATGATCTCAGGGTCCTGGGATCGAGCCCTACATCGGGCTCTCTGCTCAGCGGGGAGCCTGCTTTCCCCTCTCTCTGTCTGCTGCCCTGACTACTCGTGATCTCTCTCTGTCAAATGAATAAATAAAATCTTTTTTTTTAAATGGTAATTTTTAAACTAAAAAATACAATAAATGAAATAAAAAGCTAAATGGATGGGCCCAATAGCAGAATGATGGGAACCACAAGGAAAGAATCAGGGAACTGTTAGAAAAACAACAGAAATTACCCAATCAGGGGCACCTGGGTGGTTCAGTCAGTTAAGCGTATGCCTTTAGGTCATGATCTTAGGTCTGCTCAGGTCATGATCCCAGGCTCCTGGGATCGAGCCCCACATGGGGCTCCCTGCTCTGCTGGACACCTGCTTCTCCCTCTCCCACTCCCTCTGCTTGTGCACTCACTCTCTCTCTCTCTGTCAAATAAGTTAATAAAATCTTAACAAAAACAAACAAACAGACTACCCAATCAGGCAACAGCAAGAAAATGGACTAAAAGAAATAATATGAGAAGAATAGAGTCTTAGAGACCTGTGGGACAATAAAAAACATCTATCATCTGTGTCATCAGACTCTCAGAAGGAGAAAAGGAGACTAAGGTGGAAAAAACACTTCAAGAAACAATGGTTGAAAACTTCCAAATTTGGAAAGAAAGGCAACCTATAAATTCAAGAAGCTGAGTAAACACCAAAGGACCAATCCAAAGAAATCTAACCAAGATACATCAAAATTAAATTTCTGAAAACTAAAGATAAATACAAACTCTTGAAAGCAGCCAAACAGAAGTAACAGCTTATGGATAGGAGAAAACCAAATATGACAACAGGGGACTTCTAATTAGAAACCTTGTTGGCCAGAGTCAAGTAGTACAATACTTTTCAGGCACTGAAAGAAAACTGTCAAACCGGAATCCTATATCCAGAGAAAATATCCTTCAGAAATGAAAGCAAAATCTCAGATGAGTTCCTCAAAAAATTAAAAACAGAACTATCCTACAATCCAGAAAATTTACACCCAAATTAGAAAACCTCTGATCCAAAGGGATACATGAATCCCTAGTTTATTGCAGCATTATTTACAACAGCCAAACTACAGAAGCAACCCAAATGTTTATTAACAGATGAAGGGATCAAGAAATATGATATATATCTACAATGGAATATTACTCAGCCATAATAAAGAATGAAATCTTGGGGCGCCTGGGTGGCTCAGTGGGTTAAAGCCTCTGCTTTCGGCTCGGGTCATGGT